TTTTTTGTGCATGCATGAAGTTTCAGTTATGAGAATCCAACACCTGATTAATGTGTTTTATAGTTTCTCTTTAATTCTTTTTACATATATTGAAATTCACTAAGTGAGCTGATAAAATCAGTATCAGATGTTTTCAGATTTGATTGGTTGTTAAACTACATGTGACATTTCATTGACTGAGAATTACTGGGTCACTCAATATTGTAACAAAACCAAGTGACTAATTAGTGACCAATACAAAAAAGTTTGTCTTTAGAGAGCTACACTGAAGTTAAAAATAATTAATTAGCAAATAATTTACTCAGTACATCACAATATTGCTACATATATACAGTTATATCAGTATAATGTGTAGAATTTTTAGATGAGAACTGGTGGGAAGCTAATCTACTTGAGTCTTTGCTGATAACCCTGAGAGAGGCAGAGGATATGTTAGATACATCAACATCTGTCCTGCTTCCTGTTCCCTTCACTGGCTGAGATTCCTGCACCTGAAACAAGGCAAACAAGTCATTCCCTTTTTTTCAGTTCTCCTATTGTTTTTGCTTTTTCTTCCCCCTACTTTAATTTCTTTTTTTAAATACCTTCTCTGTTGTGTTGTTTGGATTCATTCTCACTATTTCGCTATTCCCTCTGTCAGCTTTCTCTACAGAAGCAGGCGCTGGAGAAAGAGTTGGAGACTCTGAAAGAGAAACTGAAATGGACGGAGGGACAGCTGAAGGAGAGCCAGAAGAAAGAAGCACAGACACAAGCCAAACTGACGGTAACACATAGTGATCATCAACTGATACATGCAGACGCTGTTAGGAGTCAGGGCCTGCATTAATTATTCATTAGATGAGCAATGGGTAATGACCATCTTATGTGCCATATGTTAGTCAATAAGTGTGGATCCAGCTCCATCATTATGTTTTATTAAAGATATCGGATTAGCGTTATCCTCACTGTTATTTAGTTGTGTCTTGTAATACTTGTAATACTACACACATCAACACTGACACAAATACAAGAAAACAGCCTTTGAATGGCTGTCTGTTGTAGTGCCCACTAGTGCCCACTGACTTACCTTGGCCAACAGGCCCTGGAATGAACTTTACATGATTAAAAGTCTTAGTAAAGCCTTTCTGATGCGCAAGGACATTTGCTATTGTTGTGCAGGTTCCAAATTAACATTTACTATTGTATTGCACCCCGCTAAGCTGAGAGTGCAGAAGATGTAAAACGCCCACATTTTAAGAATTTGTAGCAGTTCTTTGCATGTTCATAAGCTTGCAACATAGTTCGTACTAATACTGCCTTCATCTGTAGCTTGTTTGTGGTTTCTAGCTGTTGAGACACTGTGTTTGGGTTGCTCTTAATCCATTTATATTACACACAGCATGTCCTCATCTGGCAGTCTTCTTGCACAATTGATAACATTTATAGTGCAAATATCACAAGGTCGAAAATATAGACTGACATTAAAGATGTCATGGCAGACATATTTTGGAAATCAATCAAATTTTCTGACAGATATTTGAAAAAGAGGCCTTAAAAGTCCATCGTTGGTCATGAAGATTCCCTCCAGCTAAGCTGAATACTTAAAAATCAGTAAGTTTGATTTGACTAGATTCATCCCACCTCATTTGACTATTTTTGCTCTTTGCATTAGGAAGCTGTGCGTGAGGCAGAGGGCGTGGCTGTGACTCTGGAGCAGAGCAGGAAGCGAGAGCGAGCTCTGGAAGAGGAGGGGAGGAGACTTGCAGATGAGCGAGCTGACACCCTGTGTCTCCTGAAAGAACTACAGGGTGAGGCATAAACTGTGGGGACGAAGCCAAATCTGTTTATTAGTCATGGTAGATTGGAGTATCTTGTCTTTCCTCCCTCCACAAGAGTCAGGGTTTTGGAGTCTCACATGGCCACGTGCTTAACATGAGCTTGTTGTACTGGTGTCCTTTAGTGGGCTTATTGTGATAATGCTGCCCTGTAGTAATTTATTATTTTGTGCAGCAAAAAAGGGAGATTGATTACTGAAGAGGGTGAGTCCTAGATTGTGCATGACAGTTATATACTCAATGTCATGTAAATTACTCGTTCACGCATAAGTCTTATCCCAGTGCTGCTCCCTGCTGGTTAGTGATAGATGAATGTTATCCTTTTACAAATACACTTAACTTTTCCACTACTGCACATGTTTATTAGAAAGAGAGCACATGTTTATTACGTTTTTTTGTTTGTACATATTAAAAATGTTTTTCCTTTTAATTCTAGAGCAAAAGTCAGCACCTCCTCCACAATCTGTGCAGTTTTGCCCTGTTGGACAGAGTTTTTCATCTCAGTCTTCCTCATCTCATTATCCTCGACCGTCAGCCCAAACCAAGAGGCCTTCTTCAAACCGAGCTGAGCAGAGGAGGGAAGAAGAGGATGCACAGGAGAGAAGGACAGATATCAGAGCATCTTATCCTTCTGACAGAGAGCCAGGAGAAGGAATTGACTCAGAACACATCAGTGCCCTAATCTCCCCAGACTCCTCAGAGTGTTTAAAGAGAGCAGGAGACAAAGGGAAAATTAATGAAGAGGAGAACAAAGTTATAAATGAGGCAATAGAATGTGACGTCTCTCATACTCCCATCAACAACTCTAACGCTAAAGATCTTGATAGAATGATCAGTCTTGAGCACTCACCTAAGACACAAAATTTGACCCTTTCTGCAGAAAAGACACCTGCTCTCAAGTCTGAGCAGACCGTTCCCTCTGAAGACCTCAAAAAGGAGAATGCAATGCTCCGTTCAGAGCTTCAAGATGTACGAGAAGAACTGCAGAAACGACTAGAGGACCTGGAAGCCCAACGAAGAGCTGAGACAGAAGCCAGGACCCGCCTTAAACAGCTTAGCCGCAAACACACCAGCCAGGCTGCAGAGAAAGAGGAGAAAGAAAGAGAATGGAAGACACAACTGGAGACTGAAAGAGCTGAGACAGAGAGGCTGAGGAGGACGATGACTGCTTTGGAGGCAGACATAGAGTGTGTAAAGGAGAGGGGAAGCGAGCAGGAGGAAGAGAAAAACAAAGAACAACAAGATAGGGAGAGTGAAATGGTAGAGCTTAATATTCAGCTTAAAAAACAGCTGGCGGAGGTGAAAGCTCAGCTGGCTTTAGAGCGAGAAGAAAAAAAGAGAGAGGAAGAGGAGAGAAGCCAAATAATAAACACAGACGCTAATGTAAAGGAACAGCTGAGCATGAAGGTGGCAGAACTTAAAGCTCAAGTGGAAGAACTGAAGCAAAAAAGAAAACACACACAAGAAGAGAAGCACACAGATGCAAACACTCCCCTGACGTATTTGACTCTTCGTGATGACGAGCTCAACTCCAACATCAATAGCTGTGGCCACGCACTCCTGCCTTCACCAGAGCAGCACCTCCTTTTCTGCCAGTCCACCAACCAACACAACATGCTTGTTTCTCAGACAGCAGCAGACATCATCCAAGAAAAGAGCAATGTGATAGATGCCGAGCACTCTCCTCTGTCAGATGATGTTCAGATGGGCCGAATAGCCTCAGACCCCCAGATCGCTGAGCCTACAGCCTCTAATTTGGTGAAAGAGGTGGAGCGACTGAAGAATGACAATGCAAAGGAGACAGAGCGCGCTAATCAGTGTCAGATTAAACTGGAGGCCCTGCAGAGCCAGGTAAATGATGCTGGATATAGAGATTAGTGCACTAAATTTCTCAAACCTAAGTATTTCTGTATTAAACAGTCACTCTCGAATGTTCTGCACTTCTGAACAGCTTAATTCATGTCTCATCACTGTACTTTCGTTTATCGCTAAATCTTGAATTCATACTCTGCTCAAAAAAATTATGGGACACTTTGAAAACATCAGTTGGCACACTGTAGGTCATTTTGTAGCACTCTAACAGTGCACATGCTCTTCCTCATTGCACAAAGGAGCAGATTCTGGTGCTGATGGGTTACAACCTTCTATGGCTCTGTCCAGCACTCCTAGCATAACTGCATGTCTCCCTCTCTGCTACTTAACTGACCAAATTAATAGTCCTGAAGTTTAATTGAAGGTAAAAAAAAAAAAAAAAAGAATAAAGTGTTCCTTTATTTTTATTTTATTTTTTTTTATCTATTTATTTATGCAAGTCTCAAAATTTTTACACATTCACAAACAGCGGGACAGAGGGTTCCTTTATTTTTTGAGCAGTGTATGAATCGTGTTATTGTAAAGCACAATATTAAAATTAGGATATCACTGATCTCTCTGAAGTAAAAAAAAAAAATCAAATGTTACTTCCTTCTGTAAGTTATTTAAGAAATAAGATGGCCACTAAAGGTTACGAAAGCGTTAATTAAGATTTGCCAGTCAAAGACAAACAAAAAGCAGGCAGTAAAAAAGAAAAAGAAAATACAGAAAAGTATAGGAGTCAATAAAACAGTTGCAAACTGTTTAAATGCAACCCGAGCAGATAGATAAGAAGACTTCGGGTATCAGTTCAGTGCTAATCTGAGAAGGTAAACATCAGTCCTGATAGAAGCAAAGTAAACTCTGCATATCCAGTAAGGTGACCTGAGTCTCTGTGTGGCCCTGATTTACAAGGGGTCATAATGATTTAAATTTACAACAGCAAATTCACTGCATTTATACACATTTTTCCTCAAGGAAGTAAGATTGGTTAAGAAAAAGGCCTTTGGTTTGCTTTTTTAAAATGTGTTTTGTGCTGTGAGCTGTGACCAGTGAAGTGCAGACCCCAGTGGTATTTTTACTTTCTCTAGTCATCATTTCTTCTATATATTTTTTTTCCAACCTTCCCTTCTTGTCAGGTGACACGTCAGACGCAGCAGCTAACCATGGCCTTTGAGAAGCAGAGTCAGCACATTGCAGGCCTTCTAACTGAGCTACAAGAGAAGGAGAGCGCCCTCCAAAGCCAAAAACAGGAACTACTACAATGCAAGCAAGAGCTGGATGAACTAAAGAATGATAAAAAGGATGAGGTGAAGATGATGGTCAAAGAGGTGGAGGACCATCAGATACAAAGTGAAGAACAGGGAGATGAGAAGCCGGTGGAGAATTCAGAGCTCTCACTAAAACAGGAAATGGAGAGTAGAGTCACCTGTCTAATTGCAGAGTCACTGCCTGAGAGTGACTTGAAAGCACAGTGTGATGCAAGTCAGCCAGAGACATGTGATACTCAAACGGCAACACCTGATAGCAGTGAAGAAGCTAATAAAACAGGGGACCAGCATCCTGAATCTATAGACTCGAACAAAACTCAGAGTAACCCTGACTCTGCTTGTGTGATGGTAGAGACTCAGTGCGGTCAAAGCGGAAAAGAAGCAGATATCCTTACTGAACTGCTCACTCTCAGACAGGAGAATCAGCTGTTGAAACAAAGAATTGAGGGCCTGACCATCTCTGACGCACAAAACCCGACATTACAGACTGACGCTGAAAATCAAGACGATCCAACACAAAGCCAAAACACACCAAACGCTGCACTGTCCTGCTTGGCAGAAGACGGGACACGGAGTCTGCTGAATGACGTCATGACTGAGGGACTGGAGTCAAGTATGAATGAGGAAGAAGATGAAGGACAAGATTTAAAAAAGGAAGACCAAATAAACACAAGAACTGAAGAAGACCTGGAGGAAATGTCTGAGCTGCATGTAACTCAACTACAACAACAGGTAACGGCAGTGATTTTTCTCCTTCAGTTATGTGAAAAGATGAAAAGTGACAAAAATATAATAGGTTAGTTGTATAGGACTTAAAATTATACAGGTGGGCTAATGGAGAACGAAACGCTAGATGGTAGTCTTAACTAGTGGATATATTTGGGTAATGGCACGATTTTCATCATTTTGGCTCTGTACGCTGCCAGAGTAGATTTTATATAAAGCAGTTAAAATCCAGTTGAAGTAGAGTCTTTCTACTCAAGGGCTTAAACAAAAATATAATTTAGAAATTGCAAATATTTATAGATACCCTCCCCTATTTTTAGGGGCTTAAATTGTAATTGGACAAATTAATACGACTCTTTCGCAGTACTGAGTATCAAATGATTTACGACATTAAAATATTCAATAAGATCTGTATTGCTGAATGTAGAATTACTTTTTAAATAATATTGTGGATTTTATTTGTTTTATATTTAAGTTTTATGTCCGATTGATTCAGTCTACTGTCATTCTCCTTCTGTCCAGGTGGAGGCACTGCAGATAAGGGTACGAGCTCTCTCTGAGGAGACCCAGCAGCAGGCAGAGGAGCTTGCTGTATGGAGACTGGCCTCCCAAACAGCACCAACATTTGAGGAATGTGAAACCCATGAACTGACCTCTGCTGTCACACAGTCCCAGTCAAACCAGGAGCAAACAGATGAGATGACCCAGTGCTCGCCTCAAACTCTACCTGTTCAGGATTCGGTTCAGACACCCACACTGGATATACAGAAGAGCCAGGAAACCATCACAGTCATCAGAGAAGACGAGTTACTCGTTTCCTGCTCCTCCAACAGACTTCAGGGCCGCATGTTGTTCTCCAGGTAACACACAACACTCTGCAATCACAGAGATAACTTGTAACTGATCACACCTCTGTGTCTGTGTGTGTTAAACGCATATATTAAGTATATTTGTACAGGTATCAGCTGGGATTAACTTTTGCTTGTTTTACCACAAGACTGCAGAACAGCAACCTTGAGGAACCAAAGAGCCTCCATCCCTTTAAAACTGCTGAAAATTTTCAAGAATACAGACAGGACACTGCCACGGCTGACCAGGTGATTTTTATAAATTGTCACTCACTTATGTACCAGACGGCTAATTGTCATTATGTAATTTAGTGTAAATTACAATGGGGAAAAAAATTAAATAATTCCAGATAATTGCTAGTGGAATCTAGGAAGTCTTTTAGCCAGTGCACATAAAGACATTTCTGTAGAGAAGTAAGCCTACATATTTGGGGAAATTTATTTTTAATAATAAATGGGCCAGAACTGAGCTGCTCCTGTTGTAAATAGCAATTCTTATCATATTAGAGACATTTAAAATAGATGTTTTGTTTACCTATAAAATAAAGCATTTGTACTTTTACACCTGAACTTAAAACACCTGTCTGCCCTCAGTACTGAATAAAATGCAATGGTTTTCAGTTTTATCCTAGGCATATGCGTTTATTTGTCTACCAGATGCAATATTAATTCTTCAGTCACTTTGTTTTGTCTCTTGACTCAGGAATCTGAAAAAGAAAACCAGGAGATTAACTTCACACAATGGTCAGATAATTGTCCAAAAGTAAGAAGAGACAGTCAACTCATCCAAATGACATTGGAGAAAATGGCTCAACATCACTCAGGCGAAGTCTGTGAGCCAGATTCGACCAAAACAGAAGCCAAACTAAACACAACGACTAATTCCTCAGACAGAGTTGTCAAGATAGAAATGAAAAGTGTCAGCAGTCAGACAGAGGAGAGTTTGAATCCTCGTGGCAATTCAACAGTATGTGTTAACACTCAGACTGAGGAGGAGGAAGAACAAGGTTCAGTGGATTCCCCTCCTGTGTCTCCTGTCCAGTTATCTGCGGAGGCGGCGTCAGACAAAATCTTGTTTTCTGGTTCCTTCCCCATCCCGGCTGACCCGGCACGTCTGGCTGAAAGAATTCGCCGCAACAGGACGCAGCTGTCAGCTGCCTTTGACGACACAGAATACGAACCCTACGGCCTGCCGGAAGTCGTCATGAAAGGTAACTTTGTTGTTTGTGGGCCTGTAGAGTGAAATATGGAAAAGTAATTAAAGTTATTTTGGAGGGAGTTGCGTAAAACTTTTTTACCAATTAGTACAAAATTCTTCTCACAGCCGAGTCACCAGTTGATATTCATAAGTACATACAGTCTCTGAGTGTTTGATTCCCTGTGGATTTCCTGTTTGTGTTCCTTGTCTCTGTGCTTTCCCACTCTGATCTATTTTCTACTAACTCTTTTATTTAACCCTCCGTCTTTTTCCCCTCTCCATCCTTTAGGTTTTGCTGACATTCCCAGTGGTCCAGCATGTCCCTATATTGTGAGAAGAGGTTTGTTGGGCACCGCTGTAGTACCTGTCTCCCAGAAAGACGCAGAACAGGACGAGACGGATTAAAACACAGCAAGAGGTAAGCTCCAGACACTATTAAAAAAACCCATTTTCAAATAGATTTAACATCCCAAGATATTAACAAAAAATAAAATAAAAAATCAGGTAGTAAGAATATACCTCCAAGTCCTTGGATCAAGTAGATCCAGATCAACTCTAAAGGTTAATTGGTTCAAACCTCGGTCAACACCCATGTCTGGTCCATAATTGCATATTTTAGTCTCTCTCATTCACTTTATAGGGGGAAGATGAAAATCTGTCATGATAAGTTGGGCAAATGTGATGACTCCCTGTCTCCAGCAGAGGGATCTCACTTACTTTAAGGACAAAACTGTTAATACTTTTATTGTCACTACTTTTTGTTGTTTGTTTTGCTTTGGGGTTTTTTTTCAGGTTCGAAGCTAATTTGTTTTACTTAGTGCAAACACACAGGCACCAATAGTTTAGAATTTATGTGAAATACAGAAACCAGAAACAAATGTTGATACTTATCTGGTTGCTTTTAATTTAACAAGATCACCATGTGAGTCATGCGTCTTTTTGGTGGTTCACACCTTTTTTAAAATATGCTTCTTATTCTAAACAGGGAAGAAATCATCACAGCCTTTAATATTTATCATAACAAAGGAAAATCAGGAGATATTCCATATAACTTGGTTGAATCGGTTGAAAGGGATGTGAATTTGACCCAGGACTAAAGTACTGCCTTAAATGTTCTTGTTTTTGCATACAGGTTTTTTGCAGACCTGTTGGAAACACCTGACTCACCCTGGCTTTACCATGAACCTGAATAATGGACAACAGCCGCTGCACAACAGACTCAAAGCAATTAAAACATTGAAACAAACACAGGAGCAGTTTAAAAAGCTGTAATCAGCTGTGGACTTCTTTACGTGTGTGTGCAGGTAACTAGATCTGCACTGACAGAATAAACACCTCCCCTGTGGATCCAAAAATGTTTTAATGGCCTCTAGTTTATCCACAAATTACCACATGGAGACTTTGCTGTCCATCACAATGGTGTCACTTTACACCCACCTGTATATTTAGGTACTGAGGTGGTGGTTTAGTGATGCTTGTTGATGTTTCTTGAACCACTTTTCCAAAGGGATTGTTTAGTTTTTCGTAACTCAGAATTAAGTTATGGGCCTAGCCCGTTCTTACTTTGCATGAAACGGTGCCTAGTTGGTGTTTTTCTAAACAAGCACTTGTCAAGATAAGTTTGTTTTTCAAAAGGGTCAAGCCAAGGAAGGCCTGTTGTGGCAAATATGTTTGAATCTTTAAACCATTTCAGGTGGCTTATTTTTGAACACTTGAATGTGTTTTCGTAGAGGGGAGGTGTTAGGAAAAAAATGTGTGAAAACATAGTGTGAGTGTATGAATTATTAGCTGTGAATTTGCACCTTTGTGTCCCTATCTTGGTGTTTCTGTTTGTCTCTGTGTGGGGGGGATAGAGAGAGACTGGGATAAGCTTGTCTATGACTCAGTGTAACCTGGATTGGTTTCCGCTCCATGTATGGTGATACACACTGCATTCCCACTCTCCTCCCTCTCCCGCTCTGCTTCTGTGTCTTACACTAAAGCACTCTCAGTAGTTACACAAAACAAAATTCCCATAAACTAAACATGTGAAGCTTTTCTTTGTTAGAATTAGATGAACTAAGCTGGTGTCTTATAATGAATAGCTTTTAATTTATTTGCTTTTTCCTCTTGCACATTTGTAGATAACATGTAAATCGTTTTGTAGTTGAGTTGGGAGAAATGTCAAGTTTGTTATGTACCCTAAAACAGCAGATTTTCACCATTGTGTTTACAGGATTTGATCTGGTAAAGGATAGGTTCTTAATTCTACTTAAAGTTATACTCACAGGTCCTCACGTACATTGAAGGAGTTGCATGTTGTAGTTAAGTTTGGTAAGGTTGGTACCAAAGGTTGGTATGACCCTTGAACAGACTCTGACTCTGTGGAATATTTACTCTAGACACTTGCAGCCATATTTCCAGAACTAATTCATAAAATTTTCTTTGTGTTGCGATAGCTACTTGCGTGCCAGCTGGCTGTGTGGATGCCAGTCAGTCAGAACAGTTCCTGGAGAGTTTCTGTTTTCTCTCGGCTCTTCTGTTTACCCCCTTGACATTTGGCTTAACAGACAAAATGACACCAACACCCATGCTAACTTGCATATTAGTATATCTTACTTGGCTATGTCACTGTAAACAGTTCAGCCACATTAAGGTTCCCTTCTTGCCTTCAACAAAGCTCTCAGCACAGACGCTGGACCTCTGGGGTGTCCATGGTGTTTGGCACCAGGATGTTGACAGCAGATTATTTGAGTGGGGCTTCCATGGATCTCGATTTTTCTTGCATGTCCTGCAGCTTCTTAATTGGATTTAGATGTGGGAAATTTGGAAACTTTGCCATGCTCCTCGAGCTGTTAGAGAAGTTTTCTCAATGTAATAGGGATGGGCAACCATGTTAAGGGTGATGTTAATGTGTCAAAGTAACACTCACGTGGCTGACAGGACCCAAAGTTTCCCTGGATAGCATTATAATCAGATAGTCAGGTTTATTCTTTTACCTTAGACCAACACTTTTTTTTCTGAAGATATATTCACACCCTTGACTCTCTGTTTGTATCAACTTTTAAGGAAGTTAGATAAAAGTGAATAATGCAACTTTGATAATAAATGATGATTGTGCCCTCTGTTATAAAATTTGTGGGTCAGAATGTTTGGGCCAAAAATGGACCAAAAATAAAGAAAATGCAGAATTATTATGTTGCAAGTACAGTACCTGCTGCAATCCACTAGAATGAATACATGAATTTTTACATTCTGGTGTGACCCACCACGTGAACATCCAAAGTTCATGTTTATAGGTTAGAAAATGTCCAGAGAAAGGTGAGCTTAAATCAAAAAGAAACAAAAGGAGGGAATTTCATTTACAAGTCCAGCTTCCAATTTTAATTTCAGCTTAGCCATTTATGAAATGCTTTGCTGTTAAGGACAGGAGGAAGTGGCCATTTATTTGGTTATATAGATAACAAGATATGAGTATAATTTTAAAGTAAACTATATTAAAAACAGTGAATCTCTCCTTTAATCCTGGCTGTGCTTTCCTCCAGTGATTTTTAGTTTGCATCACATTTGTTTAAATGGAGCGATTTTTGTTTTTATGTTTACATTTTATTTAATGGTAGAGTACTTTTTGTTTGTAAAGTTGTGGCACACACACGCAAACACCTCACCTCACTCTCAGCCGCCTTCATAACTCTGGGATCTGTAGTCTTTTGGCGCCGAGGTCTGACCCTGAGTGGGGAAACTTAAATTGTATTTGTTGCCTTGTTTTGGACACTTTTATGTGAATGTATCTGTGTTGTGTTTGTGATTAGAATAAAAGGTTTGCTTTTATTAAACCGCTGTCTCTCTGAGCGCTATGTTGGGCTGTGTGCTTTGTATTTCAAGGTCTGTTTAGTTAGCTGTGTGAGAGAATATTTTTGTTTTTACTGCTTGCCTACAATTAAGTCTAAATGAGTGCCACGGTCCAATGAAGAGAGCCTCAAAGTGTTTTTTAAGTGGAATATCTTGGTTAAATCACATAAGTATTTCCGCAATTACCAAAGTCCTCTCCCTTTGCCTTTCGGTCACGAATGTGTTGTTGACAAGGTGCTGAAAGCATACAAGAAGCAGACTTGAATCAAACACTTGAACTGAAGAGTTATTCTTTTCCAACTTTAGAGCCTGTGTTGTTTAATGATGCAATTCTGCCCCTAGTGAATGAAAAACTGTGTCTGCAGTAACTGACTGTGAAGAAACAAGTGTCTCTTTGCTTCTTAAAAAGACGGGAGAATGGCGAGATGAAGGAATCAGAGAGCCGAACCTCCCCGCCCCCACCCAGATCCAGCTCAGGAAACTCCGGGCCCTCTGCTCTTCCTCTGCGCTGACGGCACTTAATCACACTCGTAGCACTGTAATAGACTCCTCATCCACTCTCACGCCTTGCCCCTTTATCTTCCCCTTCTCCTCCTCCTCCTCATACAATCTGCTGTCCTCTGTCAGAGTGATGTAGAGTCACGAGAATGGGGAAACACCTTCCAAGGAGAAAACACACATGCACAAGTGCCTTCTCACAACACACACACATACACACACACACACATGCACACAGAGCTCCTTCAGTGCTGAAGTGAAACAACTTGTGCTGCATGAACTTGGACAGCAACATTTCTCCAAACTGAAGGTAAGATGTGCAGCAGTGTCTTTCAGGGGACGAACTGTGAGCTATAATGTTAGTGCTTTTTGAGGAGCGACTGGTCTGTTGATTTTAGGTTTGTCATTTAGTGTGTGGTTTAAAAGTCGGTTTACATGTATAGACTGTCACACTGATTTTAAAAAGAGATGATCAGTCCTCCTGCTCCAGCTTATGTGGTCTAAACGCTGACACTACAGACAAAATAGTAATTTAACAGCAAAAGTCACTCTTGAGATTTATGCATCAGTGTTCCTGCATGTGCGTTTACTCTGTTTGCTAAGCATTTCATTGGAAATATTCTTTCTTAGATTTGTTGCCTCAAAGCAAAATGTCAGGCAGTTTATCTTTTTTTTAATGCTGCTTCTCTAGCCCCAAACAGTCCTGTCATTATTTCTGTGGATCATTTTTTCCCAGAGCATGAAACCAGAGATCCAGAGTCGTACCCTGTGATCTCCTTCTGACGTCAGTGTTGGCTCACTTTAAAAAAGGGAAATTCTTTAGGGGGGTAATTACATCTAAAGGAGCTTTATATTCTCCTCACACTGTAAATTCTTTAGCAGATACTACAGTCTTACCCACAGACAATCCTATTCATCTCTGGAGGCTGATTCAGGTTTATGGGTGAGAAAACATCTTTGTTTCTCCAGCTGTGGCAGATACTTGTGTTGATAGATTGTCCTTTTTTGTGTTAATTTCATGCAGTACAAATAATACAGTCACCAAAGCCCCAGTGTCTTGTTAGCATCATCTTTGCTGTGTCCTTTTTTAGGGTTTTACAGACTCCGCTGCTGTAGTTATTTTAATACAACCCAGTGATCACAAAATCTGGATTTTTTTCCCTTATATATATGTTTTCTTAAAAAAAGCTTTCCAAAGTGGCAACTCTTCTGTGTGACACAAACTAAAGCAGTGATAGCATCAGTGAATAAACACTCATATTTTATGTTAAACAAACTATGAATAAACACCCTGAAGTCTTTCAAACAAAGAAATGGACGGCATGTTTTTGTACAGTGTGATGTTATTAATGTTTTGGATCGGTTAAACCCTTGAGAGATACAACTCCTGACCCTGACAAACCGTTACGAATTCTTATAAAACTCCGATAACAGAAAACCAAATAGACTTATTTTAGGACTATTAATACTTAGTCTCAGAAACTCCAGTAAGAGGTTTCTTTATGAACTACTTGATGATGAGAATTTATACTTGAATATTTTTACGGTGCAAAGTGTTGTTCATTTTATAGTGTGACAGAGGTCTCCAGCTTCACTAAAAGTTTCTAGTTTACGTCTTGGATTTGTAAGTTTCATACTGCACCCTGTTTTCTAAACTCTCAAAATCCTTGCTATGTGTACATGTGTTAAACTGAGATTCAGGTGGAGCACACAGAAAAAGATGCACGTAGATTATCCTGCAAACTGGAGCTCAAACCTCCAAAGTTAACTAAATGTGTTTGAGTGGAGAAAGATATAAAGCGAGAATTTGCAGCTGTTAAAAGAGGATCTGCAGGACAAAGCCGAAGTCATGACCAATCACATTCTGTAGTGCCTTGTTTCTTAAGCTGTGAACCTGTGGGCTCAGTAGTGGGCAAGGTCATGCTATAACAGCATTTTTAAATTGGAAGTATTTGGATTATTTTTATTGTTGGTGAGAGACAGCATTTTTGAGTAGAGTTTGAGGACCAGTACTTTAGTTTAACCCTGTTTGGTTAGACTAGGGGTGTCAAACATAATGTCAAATAAATCAACCTGGCAATGACTCCAATACTGGACAGCTTAGAAAATGTGGAGTGCATGGATTTTGAACTTTTAAACTATATTTTAAGTTTTACAGCTTTTCCTATTGCTTAAGACCCCGCATTGCCATCCATACAACACCAAAGTACAAGGAAATTAATTCATGAAAACCTTATATTCTAAATTATACTTAGAGTACAGCAATTAAGCACTAAAACCTTTTCTATAACTTTTCATGTTTACCATGTAGTTTAAGTGGTTCAACCCACTTCACATCAAAGTGAGCTGCTGTATGTGGCCAATGATGTGAAGTAAGTTTGACATTCCTGGGTTGGATTTCTTTTATACACCTGCCTTACATGCAAACCGAAGAACAGCATGTACACATCTTGTTCCAGCTTTGTGCCTCTTTCCAAACAGCTCTGTGTATGATTTATTACCCCACCTGCAGCATTGTTTAACTTGGGATTAGATCACAGTCTGTCAGACGCATGCAGTCTCTTTCTCCGTCGCCCTCACTTCACATCTTAGCAAAATATAAAAATATGCCTGTGTAGGTTTAGACTGTGATAACTAATAATCTGCCAGTGCTGACGCCAGGGACAGAGATTTAGACTGTCCACACAAACCAAAGCCAGCAGTCCATTAGCGCAGAATGCTAACAGTTGGCCAAACTCTGGGAAATCTCAGAACACTGTCAAGGTCCACGTGGAGACGACCGGGGCCAGTCGACCCAAAGCATGAAGCTCCTAAATCCCAGTCCTGTTTTTCTGGGTATCCGACTCAAAGGTAAACACGGTTCAAAGTAGCCAAATGAAGATAAGACCTAACCATGTTTTCGATTAATGTCAAGATGTATGTTGGGAGTTCTGGCAAAGTGTAATCATTTGTGCACCCACTGGCAGGGTGGCCTGGTGTGTGTCAGTTTTTTCCAGATATTATGACAAACACCCTGC